GGTGGCTGACTAAATACTCTTTTGCCCCACTGTATCTGTAATGGTTAATCCAAACATTTGTGCACATAAATATTGTTCTTTTCCATGAACTTTCAAATTTGCTGTTTAACAAAACAGCGGAAAAAAAGGAAGGAAAGCACACTATTGTTTTTTGATTAAGAGCTGATATCACTGTTTTTGTGCCGGCTCAGATTTGGGGGCGATAATGTGCATTCAGTATCTTATTTACCTAATAAATAACTACATATACGTAGTTAGTTTACATATATCCATTTTCCTGTTTTATTTTTATAACAGGTGGTCTAATAAATTCAGGGCCTGCATACATGCACACTTATGAACCCCTGGTATTCTCCGAGAGCTTCAATTAAAATAATACATTTTAAGAAAATTATTTTTTTGAATTTTGAAAATAAAAATAAAAAACTTGCAATGGCTAATACATCAGATCTCAGTTCTAAATGTTGAAAAAAACATGTGATGTTAACAATCAATTTCTCCTTTCCAAAAATGGATTACCTTTGATTTTCTCCGGTCCGTATGAGAACACGAACTCCACCTTCCCATACTCTGGAAACCTCTCATCTGCAGACACACACAGCGAGAAAATCTTTGTTTTTTAAAACCATGAAAGCATGTGTGGATTTCACATCAAACAAAGGCACGGTTACAATTTATTATACATAGGGTTTACTATTTTACAGTTTTTCTGTATGAATCTAAATTACTTATCCAAATTCAAATCAATTGTGCAAATTTAGTGTGAATTTGATTTTCCTTTAATAAGAAATCTCTGGTTACTTATCACCATAATCACAGTATTACTGTAAGTGAATGCTTTCTGCTTCACCACCAGAGGACCCTGTTTACTGTGAAACTGTGGGGAACACTGTCCTCCTGCATCAGGACCCATGAATTTTTCCATGCTGCAAACCAGAGATCCAAGCAGCAGATAGAAGAGCGTCAGACACTGAAGCCATTATACAGTCTTGAGGTAACATTTTGATTAGTCTAGGTCAACACTAGGACAGTGAACACCACCAGTCTTTTGTGTATAAACACATAAGTCATAAAGCGTTTGCCATATCAGTGCTAATCTTGTGTATTTTTAAAAAATAACCCTTTTTGAGATACATAACCTTGATTCACAAAAACTCTATACAACTGTATGTTTTTAAGTGTCAAACAGTGTGTTGTGTAAATCCACCCAAATTAAAATTACCTTTGAAGGTCTCGTCCAGCTCACTCTTCCCAAAAACCACCCCAAGATCATGGATGGCACAAGTATGGAACTGCACCCTGAACACAACATCTCTGGTTGGGCTTCTGTATCTCTTGTGGTAACACTTGAGCTAAGTTTAACAGATAATAGAGAAAAAATGGAGAAACATCATGAGACTCTATATAATATTAGGAAAATGTAAAGAAAAAAGGTAAATGGAAGGAAACTGTTGCTTAAGTAAAGAAACATTTTTTGTTATCTTACCAGGATGTCTCCCTTAAGAAGCAGTCCAGGTTCAATGGTGATACAGATACTGGTGTTGCTGTCCCCTTGCACATTGCTACAGTTAAAAAGACAAAACACTAACCTTTAAAATAAAATTACTTTTCACCTCACAGGTTCATTTTATGCCTGAATTCAAACACAAACCACGCTAAACTAGAATAAAAAATCCCATACTATATTCCTGACGTGTAGACTGGTTGCATTGCCTGGTAGATTTTCAGGAAAGGACGGCAACCTGTGAAGTGATATAAATAGGAAATCTGAAATGTGTTCAAGAAAAACAGTTTTTTCTAGGTTTTTTTTTTTTTAAATTTACTGGTAGATGCTCACCTCCTTTGGACTCAAAGTTAGGTATGCCGTGCATGATGACGTGATGCAGGAACAGAGGCTTGTTGTTGATTTTTATGTGTCCTGACAGAAGGCCGTTGAAGTATCGCACATACCTGGACACAATGAAAAGTAAGCACTCAGTCCCAAAGTCTTTACAGATCAAGCTTAAAGATGAGGACAGATAACAAAACTGCAGGTTTTCCTCTCTCCCTTCACTTGAATCTTCATAGGCCTTTATTTTAAACAATGCTTTAGAAAAACCCATAATGACATGTTATTATTACAAGGCATGAAAATGCTTTAGAGTGTAAGTAAGAGAGGGAATAAAAAACTAAAAACAGCAGACTAAGGGTGATAGCTTCGGGTGTTAAGGTTGTGCAGCCAAAGAAGTAATAAGATTGGATGGATTATTTTGGAACTAGAAGTCTTCTGTTATCGGTACTAGTCACTTGTAACTGAACAAACCTTTGATAAAGTGATTCTTTGGACCTGATGTGAACAATAGAATGAATGTTAGAAGATTGCCTGTATTACGGGGAAATGCTCTCTGGGGATCATGAATATCTTCACAAAATCTCATGGCAAACAGCCGAATCCTTGTTGAGACATCTCTTTATCCTCCCACTAAGCACCTCCTGGCTAAGTTACACGCCAAATCCTCATCCTGCTCATTCGGTGCGGTTCACCTTTACCACCTGTGAGCTCCAACAAAACAGCCAGAACAAAATTTTGCTCGTTAAACAGCCTTTATCCACTTTGGGAAATGTCACACTGAGTTGATGTGTACGGAGGCCAGTTGGGGGTCTGCTGAGTTACTGTGGTCTGGTTGTTAATGATGATAATGATGATGGTACCGAACGTAACCTTGACCGCAGGGTTGCCACATGCACACGCCTTCCTTGCTCTGCTGTCAGTGGCCAGATGGTTTTGCCTCTGTGAAATTCAATTAGACCGAGCTGGGACGCCATGTTAGCAGTACTGAGATTAACAAAGGCTTGTAAGTATACCATATATGTGTGTGTGCGATATGACACATAATTACATTCTGTCTTATAACAAGAAAACATCCTGTGATAAAGGTCCTGGATGAGGCAGTGCCATTACAACGTCTTTTTGTCATTTTCTGTTGAGTTGATTTTCTTTTTTTAAACTCATACTGCTAGCAATTGTATTTATATAGCACATTTAATTACATGTAATCTCAATGTGCATATTAAAATTAAACCTAAAAAAAATCTAGTACTGTCAGATATACACTCAGTGATATATTAGGTATAACTACTCCATGATTTGTTGATGTAAATTTCTAACCAGGTAATTAGATGGCAGCAAAAAACTGCATTTAGTGATATAGGCTACGTTCACACTACAGGTCTTAATGCTCAATTCCGACTTTTTGATCAAATCCAATTCTTTTGTCTGCTCGTTCACACTACAACTAAAATGCGACAGCAAACGCGCTCTAGTGTGAATGCTCAAAGCGGCCCGCATGCGCAAAAGAAGACAACGCGCTCTGTTTAGACCCAGAGCAAAGAGTATTGTTTGACTGATGGCCCTTAATATAAAGACTTCGGACTTTACGTTTCCCAATTTTTGCTTTAAGTTATTTTGTTATTTACATAATAATGCAGATAACCTAATAATGATCCTTATTGCTGTTTTAGAGAGGAGCGGTGCTTCAAAGGATAGTTGCAGATTTCTGTCAGAATCTGCAGATTATACAGTACAAATAAAATGTTCACGTTTCTCCAACGTTGTCTTCCCAACAGTTTCACTGACATCTACACTGGATGGCCAGGAAGCGTTCGCGATGTCTTCTCGGGTGCTTCTCCGGTGCTGATAATTGTCTTTTGTCAGTGACGTAAAAGACGGATTTAATGCGACATGACCGTTCAAACAGCAGTCACTTTCTAAAACATCGGATATGTATTGGATTCAGTACCACATACGAAAGTGACCCAGATCGGATTTGAAAATATCAAATATCAGTGTGCCGTTCACACTGTCATACCATGATCGGATATGGGTCGCATAGGGTCAAAAAAATCGGATTTGATGCGCTTTCGCCTGCAGTGTGAACGTAGCCTTAGATACGATGACTTGCTGAACTTCTAAGCATCAGAATGAGGAAGAAAGATCATTTAAGTGACTTTGAACACGGTTGTTGGTGCCAGACATGCTTATCTAAATTTGGTTGGTAGGGTCATGTAAACAACATAAAAGCGTGGATCCATCCTGGTTGGTATCAATGGTTCAGGCTTCTGGTGGTGTAATGGTGTGGAGGATATTTTCTCAGCACACTTTGCGGTCTTTAGTACCACGGGAGCATTGTTCAAACACCACAGTCAGTATTGACATGGTCAGTATTGTTGCTGACCATGTACATCCCTTTATGACCACAGTGTACCATCTTCTGATTTCTGCTTCCAGCAGGATAACACAGCATGTCACAAAACTCATGAACCTAACAGTGAGTTCACTCTTCTCAAATGAACTCTACAGTCACCAGATCTCAATCCAACAGACCACCTCTGGGATGTGAGATTCACATCATGGATGTTCAGCCAATAAATCTGCAGCAACTGTTTGATGCTGTCATATCAATTTGGGCGAAAATCTTTTGAGAAGTGTTTTCAGCACCTTGTTAACTCTATGCCATGAAGAAAAACTGAAGGTACTAGTGAGTTATACCTAACAAAGTGACCAGTGAGTCTATATTTTTAGCCAGACAGATTTCCAATTTTAAAGTTACAGGAGTAGAATAAAGCTGGGGTATGTGGGGTTCTGCTAATGCCATCACTTCACTGTACTGTGATCCTTATTCCTGTGATTTCTGTTCAAGTTCTTTGTGAGCAACTAGAAAAGCACATAAAACAGGTTAATGATGTTTTGTCCCATAAATTAAATCAGAACACTTCCAATCCTCTACACAAATGTTCACTGTGCTTTCTGCTGCATACTACTATTTTCACACTAATCATTTAATGACACTAAAATACTACACGTAACACCTTTAATCCTGCCTTTTACTGGCTTTCGTGGAAGCGGCGGCCTGAGAACATCTCCCACTCTTGATGTTAATGTCACACATTCCAGACCATAATGCTGCCAGTCTCTGGGGGCAGAGATAATTATATCCAAAGCAGGAAATAGCAGCGGGGCAGAGGGCAAGCCTATAGACCTGTTAAAGAATGACTGGCTGACTAATTCACAAGCTTAAATGAAGTGGTGTTAAGTCCCCTGGTGTTTCCTGTGTTCCTTCGCATATCCCCCATAACCTTTTTCCTGCTCATCCTTTCTGAAAATCCCAGATCAAGACACCAATCTTCTCATGTGAAGAAGGGAAACTGAGAGGGGTCAAGCCTTTTAGCAACCTCCCTGCCTAATATGCAAAGGCAGCTAATAATGTAAAAGGAGCAGATTTATGACTTAGAGAACAAGAAGACAGTGTCCCTTGAGTGAAAAGTACAACAAAAAAATAAATTGCTCAAATGTTTTTTAACCGTTCTTGATTGGTTTGACTGGCTCTGGTTTGGAGTTATACCACTGTATTGCAAAAAAGTGTAGATGAAGTCACGGAAAATATGCTGTGATATGCTTGAAAGACAAGAATGTACTGTCAGCAAGCGTTGCAGCCTCCCCGGAGACACCAGTGGAATTCCTCAGACAGACAAGACAAGATAGATGGCCTCTCTTGGTGCTGTTTCCTCTTAATTACCCTAATTAAAACAAAATTGGTGATAAACGGAAAAAAAATAGAAAGAATTTGCTCTGTAGAATTTTTCTAAGTCTAAATGGGAGAGATTAAGTTAACACACTCACTATTAAAAGCATGGAGCTGAGACATTTTCTTCCCTTTTTTTCAAAAACAAAATCCAAAAATCAAATCTCAGTTTCAGGGCTGTAGCTATAGCCTTGTCTGCTGGAGTTGAGTTTTGCAATTGCACTATTTTTAGATACAGGTAACTAGTTTCTTATTGGCATTCTTATTGAATTTGAATCTGATGGTCATAATTCTGTTAATTTTGACAAAACCGTCAAACATGGATATATTACTCTACTAATCGGAAAGTTAGTGTTTCAACCCTTGGCCACTTCAAAGCATCCTTAGGAAAGGGTCCTAATCCTAAGTTGCTCTCTGATCGTTCATTGGAGTGTGAATGTGTGAAAGCATTTGACCTAAATGCTGTGGTTAATGAGACATGTTGTATAAAGTGTTATGAGTGCTCAAGTACAGTAGAACTGTGTAAAATTACTAAGAAGTGTTAAATCCTCTACTAACCCTTCAGAGCCTTAGCATCAGTATTAAATGGGCTGCTAGAGTCCTTAAAGAGCTACTCCTTAATATGGTTTATGAAATTGTTGTTACAGTTGCTTAACAAATCAAATTTGGAAAGTAGTGGGCAAAGTGCTACAGTGTTCAGACTAGTTCACCTCATAGCAGATGTCAATAGGAAGTGAGGTAATAACTTACCTCCTCTGTGATGGCTGACCCACAGGAAGTGCTTTGTCTTCATAGAAGCGCCTCATTGCAAACCTGTCCAGTGCCTGGTCAGCACTTAGAGACACAAGAACTGGGTAAGTGATGTTATCCTTCACCACCGAACATTTTGAAGATTACAAAACAACAAGGAGAACAGCCTTTATTTTGGAAAACCTGCTGAGATTTAGAAATACCCCCCAGCTTTCATCATTGATGAAGCAGCTTTCATTCCCCCAGGAACCCTCCCACCTATTAACATCTGGTAGCATTAAAGAATGATGACATTTTCAGAGCGTTTCTTCTCACAGAGCCAGAAAAATGAGCTGGCCAGAGTCGAGTGTTTAGCTGTTATAATCACATCGTTGTTTAATTTTCAAGGCTGCTGAAGTCCCAAACTTCAAGGTCTACCCGTGATGGATTGTTGCTCCTGTCCTTACATAACCCTTCGACGAGGAGATTTAAAGGATCAAAGCACGTAGATCAAACTTTTTCAGTGCTGACAGCCTAAAATGTTCACCTCTGTTTAAACTCAAACACCAACGCAATCTAATATGTAACACTACATTTTAACACGTTTTAGGCTGTGTCTGATCATGACATGTTTGATACCTTGCAGATATGTTGCTGTAATGCATGTAAGCAGCCACCACAACACCCGTTCGACCTCGGTTCCCCTGTGAAAGAAACACAAAACAGGGCTTGTTTAAATGATTTACAGAGTCAAGATGCGTAACAGGAAAATTGATGGGAATTAGGGAAGATTCCAAAAGGATCATTGAATTAATGATCAAGAAACAGAGCAGAAACAAATCCCCCTTCGATGGTAATAAATTGGTCTTCAAGCATTTTCACGTGTAATTGAAACCCAAAAGTTGGAGCTATATATAAATAATAATGTTTAATCATTCTGCTTGGTTAAAGCAGTCGGCTCAATTCGAGCATAAACTTTGTTGCTTGTCCTGCTTTATCTGGATACCATGTGCAAATACTCTGAAACAACAGAGGATTCATTGCATAACTTTCGGCTCGTTTCACAAGCAGCCAATTCCCGTACATGCCCATGTTACCAGCCATAGTTAAAATGACTAGCAGAATTTAATGCTAAATTAATGCAAATTTTGCCTTTTGTAACATCTTTACTGGTGGTGACCACTTTAAATTTTAATACTTTGAATGACTGGCCTATCAAAGCTGAAAAAGTAAACTGAAACTCCGAATTGTTTTTGTGGAATTTTACCTTTTGGAGAAGTTTTAATACATAAGATATCCTTGTGTATCTCTAAAGTCTAAGCTTGCTAACCAAGCAAGCCAGAGTTATCCAAAGCTAGCCAAGTGTTAGCGCTCTAGACCAATTATGCTCACTTCTGATTACCTTAAAAACAGTGACAACCAGAATACGTAATAAGAACACCGGTGATACAGTAGCTCATCCAGCTCATAAGCCACTGCCTTGATAACAGTTTTGGGTGAAACCCAATTATGTGATCGCGGTGAATTATTTTGATTAAATTCACATGTTCACTTCAATTCACAGTGGGGACGTTTCACCACGGCATAAGGTCATTGGTCCTTCAGCTAGATGAGCTTAAAACAGTAGTCCATAGCTCAATGTGTGACTTCACAGTGATATGTTTTATGTCGAGCTATGAAACTGAATAACTACAAATTATGTTGATTTTATGAGATCAGCAATGAAAAAAATAATCACATTTCCATATTTAGAGGGAAACAATCTCTATGCCCAGCCAATAAATGTTCCAGCACATGACCGCCGCATTATAACAGATGTTTTTACACTTTGTTTTTCTGCCTTACCTTATTGTGCAGTACCACCACATTGCGTGTGTCTCCATTGAGCCACGTGTCAATGGCCTTGCACATGCTGCAGATCTTATCCAGTGCTGGCGCATGGTGGTCCGGCCAGCCAAACTCAAGAACCTGTGAATGATTATCAATGATGATTATGTCAAATGAGCTTTCGCTTTCGAAATTTGTTCTTCCTAACCATGAATATACAGTATATGTCGTGTTTGTACCTTATGGTTTAACTTTGTTAAGTCGCTCTGTCCTTCGCTCAGGTTGAGCACCTGAAATCAGGAAGAGAGTATATCAAAGCAACTGATGGACATGTGATGCATTTTAGAAAATCTTTGTTTTTTGTTTTCAAGGATATACTGTAACCATCTTCCAAAAAACCTGACGAACAGCAAACAAAAGTGTCAATACAGTCCTGTGCTCCAGTTTCAGCTGAGGGTATTTCTTACCAGATAGTGCTCGCCATGTTTTGACCGCAGCATTGTCGCCACCTCTTTGAGGTTGGTGTTGTAGCTTTGCTCCTCGGCCCCAGCGGGAAAAGAGACAGAGATGATTCTCTCTGTGATGTAGACCAGGTCGACCTCATAGCTCTCCTCCATGGCCTGAACCACACTCTGACTCCTGCAGAGGTAGAAGGTGCAGAAGGTCTTGAAGCTTGCCAGTGGCAGATTTTACATCACAGCACCATTTCACATGTTTGATTGGCAACAAGTTCTTTTCGAAGCAACATAAGCTGTGATTTCAAAGGGAATGGTCAACTCTATTGTATATAGATCTGCACTGATCAGAGTTCAATCACAGAGTCCACAGAGTTAAGCTCAGTCTGCAATATTCATTTGCAAACCCTACTGAGTTTGTCACATGTCATATAGTGTCATACAGGCTTAGACCCCCAACCAGTAAAGGGTTTTTAAGAATGATACCAATATTTTATAATTGAGAAATCACAAACATCAGACAATTTTCTTCCATTTGAAACATACAAAACATATCCGTGTTCTCTAATATTTAATATGTGTAGTTGTCCATACTATGGCGAGAGTGAAGTTTAAGTCACTCTGTTGCCAATAGGAAATCTGCTTGTACACAGTAGACACAGTAAATGCCAAAACCAGTACATCGGCAAACAGCTAATATCAGCCAAGCTTTACATAGCACACTGTACGTAATTATTTTAGTCTATCTACAGTTATAGCTGCCTGTGCAAACCGCTTTGCAACCATCTCCACCCCAGCCTCTCATTTTCATGCAGTTTCTGACTTGCTGTAAAATTTAATTTTTGTTGTGTTTGGGAAAAAGACCATCTTTATTACATCTCATTATGATAAATACAAATATAAATTAATAAAATATACTGGTACTTTTCAACATAGTTACTGTATAGTTGCCAGAAATTTTTAAGAGGCAACTCAATTTAGAAGGACACATCTTGTAAAGGATGCTTTGACCTTTTAACCTTATCAGCACTAATCATAAGTTTTCCAGTTCTATTCTAGTGCAGGATTGCGGCTGCTGTGAGAACGTTTCTTGAACTCTCTGATTTCTCTCTGGGATTAGCCAACAGAGTTTATCACAAACATCCACTTCATCACATGTAAACTCCTGCAGCTCACTCTTATATTTCTTGGAAAGGAAAAGATTTACAGTCCTTCTGTGACTGTTGACATGACCTCTTCCAATATTACGCAACCTATTTCACCAGCCAAACAGCGCAGTTTTTTGGGTTTTTTTGTTCTGTTTTGTTTTTGGTCAGCAGACATACGGTAAAGCCCTGCATGAGAAACAGCCATGCTTCAAGAATGACAAACAGCGGAGAATATGGAGTGAAAATTTACATTCCTACACACCCAGCACAAACAATCAGTTTCTAATCTTCATTAATAATAATCAAGGACTGTAATGACTTAAAGAGCTTATTAAAGACTAAACAATAATTTGGTAATCTTAGAAGTCATGCTGTTTAGATTGTAGAAAAAATAGATTAAATTTGTTCCACTTATGGAGCCCTTATTTCTCCTAATGAAAGCAGTGTGAACAACAATACAACATGGCTGTGTGATGGTGCTTTCTTACCGCGACTGCTTTCGCCTTATCTCCACGCTCTTGCAGGACCTCGCAGATCCCTGGTGAGCACATACACACAGACACACACAGGCAGATGGTGGGAGACAGAGGGAGAAAAATGATTCATAAGCAAACTCCATCTGGTAGTCATGATGATTTTATTGAATTACAGTCTGACATAAGCTATTAGGGAAAAGTCAGATCACAGACACAAAACTGAAACTGCTATGAAAAGATGGAGAGAGAAGAATCAGCTGAAACAGAATGATGAAAAGTAAAAGAAGCAGCTGACAAAAGAAGGCATTCAACCAAGACGCTTGACAAAAGGAACCGAGCAACAGAAAGAAGACAAAAAATAACGAAAAAGTACAAGAGGTGTAAAAAAAAAAAAAAAAAAAAAAAACAAGTATTGGAGTTGTTTTAACAGAAAATCATCCTGAACTGGGGTCTTGTCAAGACTCGAGCACACAATTAATTATCGTGTCCTTTACCCAGATATTTACAAAGGGAAGAGTGAGAACAGGTTGTTTCACTGTGACAGGGCTGCAGATGGAAAATGTTACTAAATATGCTTTACTGTCGAGGAATTGCTGCATAATAGATGCTAGAGTTGGCTCTTCCTCTTACTGCCTGTCGGCTGAGGGGATAACTCTGTGTGAGTCAGGAAGATGAAGCCATCTAAAAAGACAAAACGACTGCTGAATTAATCTCCGCGGACATCATCTGTGACATACTTTACTTTTCCCACCACATCGTCATAAAGAGTGAGCGCTCGGCTTCACCGCTGAAGAGGTTAAATAAGTGATGTTGGCAAGAAGTGTCTCAAGGTTAAACACGGAGCTCCCATGGCTCTTCTTACTGCTTGCGAGTGGCTTCTCCTAGAAAAAGCTAGTGCAACCCCCACCCCAATGAGCCAAAATGGTCACATAATTCTAAGTGATCTGACAGGAACCAGATGCTAAACGCACCACGGACGATGGTGTTTGCAAAATGAAACAGCCTGTTCACACAAGGCTTCACAAGTGTTTCGATGTTATATGTCACATTACAGGGACAATCTGTTAGCCTGCAGCAACATAGATACATAAATGAAAGTCAATCTGCATGTAAAGTGGGGTAAACGTCTCTGAGATTTAACGTTCACTGTTTGCCCGTTGACACCGGGTTTTGCATCTACCTCACACTTACATCTGTACCCAAGCTCTCTATTGACGTTCACTATTAAAAACACAAGCCACGGCCACTGCATGACCAATGCAATGTGTTTTGACTCAATCTTGCTTCTACTATGAATATAAAGGAGAAGAGTGGTTCCCAACGTTTTTCTATCCAAGTGTTTCCTAAGCGCCAATAGACTGAAAAAAAGGCTTTTCTTAAACACCTTTTATGTTTAAATGTGTTGAGTTCAGCTTTTTTAATCTGTTTTACTATTCCATAACTTCCAATTTGAAACATTCATCCATGATTTTTAGACACTATTCCATTTAGCAGCTCGGCATCTGGGCAATTCTAAATGTTTCTCTGTCTTATTCTTTCAGCTGTTATGGTGTGTTCTTGACTAAGTAAGAAATCATAAGTTCCAAATTGCAATTGAGTCCCTAATTGCACATTTTTTGCGGAAGACCCCCTTCACTCAGATTTCCCATTTGGACAGTCGAAGTAGACTAGCATACCTTGAGTTAGCAATCCAAGATGGTGGCGCTGACTGTAAACTGTAGTAGAACTAAACTTTTAATCTGTTCTGCATTTCTGGCTCACTAAATAAGCGCAACAGTAATGAGATCTATAAATGTGTTCTTTCAAGTGCAAAAAATCACATATAATCACTTTTCTTGGAACATGCAAGAACTCAGAAGAGATGTCACTCCCAAGTTCTGACATCCTAGTTTCGAGGCATCTGGAATGGAGTATTAATCTGTATTATTAACATGCAGTTTAATCTAGTAATAGTCTAATTTTCACATGTACTAATTTTCATTTAATGTTCTAATCTTTTAATTGCTTTTGTTTCAGTCTCTTCAGTCAGGATCTTCAGTTTAATTGCAGATATGCTAACAAGTTTGTTTTTACTGTAAGTTAAGAACTTTTAAATGCGTATATGTACTTTTGTCTTGCTATACCAATTCATTCATCATGTTTGTGATGACGTGAAGTTTTTTTGTAAGACACTGACTTTTGGTTACTTTGTTTTATTTTATTTTATTTTATATACTCTGTAACCCAGTTTTTTGTTTGTTTGTTTTACTTCTGGCCTTCTGGTTTCCTACCCATGATAGGCCAATTGTTTATTCACACCTGTGTCTGTGTATATTTAGATTCTTTATATATTAGATATTTATACACTGTACATTTTTTATATATTTAAAAATACATAAATAGTTAATGTATTTTGTAATTAATGTATTTTGTTTTCAATTTTCTAATGCTTAGCCATTAATTTGTTAAACGTTAACATTTCCGACAAATTCCTTTTTTAGTTCGTCTCCAGTTTTTAAATAATTTTAATGGTTGAGCTTGTCTTGTCGTTTTACCACAGACTACTACTTATCTTATTATCACAAATAAATTATTTTTCTCTCAGTTTAAAAATATTTTAGAAAGATTTTTATATTTACAATATACGTATCTCATAGAGAAATAGTGGGAGAAGACTGAATGCAGTACATATAGGTTAAAAGGCACTAAGAAATTTAAGTTTAGCTATTTTACAACTTTTAATCATAAATAAAAAAAAAACCTTTATTCCATGGGAGTGGCCTACCTTGCCAAATTGGAATCCAGTACTACACCTCCAGCCAGAAAGCAGGTTGGCAAAATGCATTCGAATGGTGCTGACCAAAGGCATGGCGAGGACCCACTGCTCTCTGTTTCTAAGCAACGATAAAGCTGCAAATACCAGGCTTTTTGATAAAATTGAAAGAATCCAAGCAAAATTTGGTGTTGTACATCTCATTCTTTTTTGGGATTTCAACTCATTATCCAGGTGGTCAAAGCTTAATCATTCATTCTCTCCAACATCCTCATGGTCAAGATGTTAGAGTCCCTTCCATTTGTGCCGAGCCTGATCAGCGATTATGTAATATATCATGATGCATCTTCCTTTTCTTCGTTCCTTCTCAGCTGTCTTCTCCCTGCTTTCTCTATCTTTCTTCCTCCCTCCCACCCACTTTCTGTTCTCTGGAACTACTCCTCCCTTGGTCTTATTATCTCTCATTATATCTGACTGCCTCTCTCTCCCCTCCAGCTTCTCTTGGCTCATATCTTTCACCATCCCATATGCTTGTGTGGTGTCTGGGTCCTGTAAACGTTTGTTCCTAACTACCCTTAAGAATATGGTCAGCAGCATGGAATAACAGGTTACATAAAGTGTGGAATAAAAATAAAATGGTAAATGGCCTGTATTTGTATAGTGCTTTTCTAGTCCCTAAGGACTCCAAAGCGCTTTACACATCCAGTCATCCACCCATTGACACACACATTCACACACTGATGATGGCAAGCTACATTGTAGCCACAGCCACCCTGGGGCGCACTGACAGAGGCGAGGCTGCCGGACACTGGCACCACCAGGCCCTCTGACCACCACCAGGAGGCAACGGGTGAAGTGTCTTGCCCAAGGACACAACGACCGAGACTGTCCAAGCCAGGGCTCGAACCGGCAACCTTCCGATTACAACTCCCAACTCTTGGGCCATGATCGCCCCTTACAACATTTTCTGTCTGTTAGAATTATGTTTGATTTTTCTCTAGGTAGAGCTTACATCTGTGCATCCACTCTTCCATGCTAAATACTGATTTCAAAAATTCCCATTATACCGTTGGATGACCCTCAGTAGGCCCCACACTGACTCTGTTATAATCACAATGGTGCATTTTGAGTCAAAACCACAATGCATGTATCCTGCATGGACTAACCAAATAAATATTCCATCTGCACGTTGGTCCACACACCGCAGATGCACACATACACGGAAAACCTCATAAATGATGACTCCAGAATTTAAGTACAGAGAGAAGAGGATACCATGACAACTCCTCAACATATTAACCAATAAGCATAACACTATATCTGTGAAATATATAAAAGGCAACTTGATACAATAGGATAACACAGGGAATGCTATAAAAATACATGACAACCACAACAGAAATCTTACTGGTTAAACAAAAGGCATGATTGGTACATTAGGATCACAAATTCAGCTGACGATACAACACAATTTTTATTGGAAATGTCTGGAAGGGACAGTATATGTTTAGTCCCAAATACCAGTATGCCACTGTCAAACTGTTTGTGACAACTTTTTATAGTTACAATTTAAAAAGATTAACAAGACCATAGTCAAGACAATTAGTAGCCTCTGTCTTTGTATTTTTAGTGCTGGTGTTTCTCATCAGTATGCCTGTATTTCCTCACAATCTCAGTTGCTTGCTTGTTTACACAAGAAGATGACATTTCTATGAAGCCGCAATACATGGCTTGCATTTAACTGAACAGGATGAATATAACTTACACTTCTAAATGCAGTGCTAAAATATTTATTAAAAAAAAGATTTTGATAGAATGATGTTAAAAATATTAAAAAGTATCGCTGATTAATAAACATTGAACAATAAGAGGAGGAGGAGGTTTTCACATGTTTGCAGCTTGTTTTATTGTGTTTGACAAGCTGTAGTTAGCTGCAATTCATAGCTGTTGGAATGGTTTCCAACACTAGCCTAATTTCACAATAAAAAAGCACTCTAAAACATCCATAAAATCTGCTCAAAACACTGAGACATAACCAACTTCATCCTCAGGATGTGCTAAACACTAAATTTCTGCATGCAGTTAAGTACTTGTGGCTAAATACACACTTTAATTTGTTGCTAGCTAGCGCAATGTGCTGTTTACTTTAGCCTTATGTTTGCTTAGATTGGTAGCTAACAACAAATGCAAAAAGCTAACTAAAGAATGCTCTTGATAAACTAAAGCTGTGTACCTCTGGATGTGTTTCAATCATACTTCCTGGACAGCAATAGGAGGACACTAAGTGCATTGTATAAGCTAGCTAGCAAGATAAAATGTGTCTGGTCATTGTTTCTCATTTTTTGGGGGTGTTTTTGTGCTTTAGTCTGTTTTAGTTTGTTTGTTTGTTCTTTGCATATAGCACATTAGACAAAATCATCTTCCATTCTATCTTCCAAGACACAAACTGTGGATAAATCTCTATATAAGCTGGTGTGTACATGCCGATCTGTGTTAATAATCCCACTCTGAGTCATCTCCTTATTTCTGCTTCTGATCTAAACATTCAGGGGACATTGGATGTAGACATCGACTCATTAAGACACACAAAAAAGAGAGGAGGAAAAACAAGGATGTAAGAATTCTGCTTTTATCTTTTGAAATACAAAATTCTTCTGGTCTTATGAAAAAGGAGACGAAGACAAAGGAACCGTTTTAGTCAAAAAGAATTAATTGCGACCTTTGGATTGGTTTGCATTAAATAGCAGTTTTTGTTTTACATTGGTAGTGTTCTTCTCTGTTCTTTCTTTGTTTTGTTTTTTTTGCTCTTCCTTTCTTGGGTCCCCACCACCTATGCCTACACTCTCCAGTGTTAGCAATGTCAGACAGAACAAGCATGCCTAGTCTCTAGCCAGGACTTGGCATTGATTTCTGGCACAAATAAGACAAAATTTGCAGTGGACTGGCAGAAACATATGTCTCTACAGCTTACTATTTTTTTAAATTTCAGGTATGTACCACATATTCATTTACAGTGGCACAGAACAGACACCTCAGCTAACCTGAACATCTGAACATATGCAGTCTATTATCCATTGGAAAAATATGTACCAGTCTTTAAGGGACTGTAAACTGAGTTCTATATGGATAGCTGTTATGTAGTGGATGGTGCTACCACCTTTTGCAGTTTGTAAGATTTAAAGTGAACCATGTTTGAGATCAAGGCTTAACAGAATTATTCCCTGATTAAATTATTGATTCAAAGCTAATAAATATACAACTTGATGGAGACTCTGCTTAGTTGGTTTAATTTAGTAATAAGTAATTTTACATGCCTTAATGCAAATATCAGAGCTCATGTGTGCAGTTTGCACTGTATATTGTCTGTAGTTAGCATTTGTTTCTACAGTAGGTTGCTGCACATGTTTCTCTATTTCAAAACATACAATTCAAAGCACAGCATATTTCAGTCACTGCTGAGTCATCGTTATTACATATTTTGCTTCTTAATAATTGGATTTTTTCAGAAACTGTATGTGGACGCCTCAAATTACAACCTTAGCCATTGGCATTACTCGGCTCCTCCGCTATTCTGTGAAGGTTTTCCATAATTATATGAAACCTGGTTAGACTGCTCCCTTTCAGCCACAATAGCTGAGGCTGGCTTGTGATAATTGACAGTAAGGTTTGGCTTATGTTTGTGTTATATAGGATTGTGAAAGTGATTCAAGTACTTCAACACTGAATTGGGGAAACCATTTCTCTACAGACCTCAGTTCCATGCATGTGGTGCAACATACATGGAACTGCGCTATTTCTGTAATTGCAGGAACTGAGGGGTCTTGCACGAACTTTGAGAAACAAAAGTACATAGCTGTATCTATCCAGGTGTCTGTGTATGTTTTGCTTCATACAGTAATGTACTTGAGGATTGTTATTCCAGCGTCTTGTTGCAATAACAATAGCAGCTTTTATGAATGAACATCTTTTAAAGCATGTCTTCTTGGCATTACACTTACGCAGAAGAAGTGTTACTTACCGGTGTATCTACATGCTTTAATGGCAGCTGAGGAGTGGGAGGCTGGAGAGAAAAGTGAGACAGAGTCAGCGGGTTAATCATTGTTTCTTTCACATGAAGGAAGAAACAACATGGTGAGAAAAAAAGATGAGAAGGAAATGTGAGAACCAGGTTTCCTTGCTGGATGTCCCGCTCTCACTTATTGCCTGGGTGACAGTCACCTACCAGACTCACTCCGTGTGTGTAGGTTTCAGTCGTAACATGTTCCAATGTAATGCAACATTACATTTGCCAGTAATACAGTAATGTAATGCATTACTGTATTAAATTCAATTCAGCTGAGTGTATGCAGACTCCAGCCCAGCAGTCAGAGCCTGATCTTCAACAGGTAACAAAGGCAGGCGGGCTTGTAGCCTTTATTTCTATCTGTTCATGTTTATTCACAGCTTTTTATTGTTGTTTTTGTGTGTCATCATTAAGACAGATCCTGTTACAGAGTACCATAAGCGTAACATAAAGTGTAGCGTAACAAATTGCTAATTAACGTTCTCTTATACTTTTAAGAACCAAGAAGTAACAAGCAATGTTTACATTTTACATTAATATATTACTTTTTTGAACAATGACCCCAACTAGCAGATGCTATAGGATTATTTGGCTTTAAGGTATGTTTTACCCTTCAAGAAAGCAAAAAGATAGGCAACAAATGTAAAGTAAATTGCAGCAGCTGTTGAAAGCACAAAGAGTAACTATTCCTTCTTTTGTTTTTAATTTTTTGTGAAAATACAAAAACCATAACATTTCCATTTCTCTATATAATCAGCCAACATTTTCCTATCAAAGATATAGTCATATTAGCATAAATATTGCCCAAATATTTTCTGTTGTATGGAGCATAAAGCATAACAAATATGTTTTTGGTGATTGAGCAATGGCATCATCCTATAGTTTATTATGCAAAGCGCAGTAAGTCCTTTGATTACAGAACTCTCAGGAGAGTCTGTAGCACACGAAGCAGAGTAGCATCACAACTTAACAGTTGGTGGAGTGGAGATAATCGGCATCTTCACGGTAAGTTGACAACTAAATATTAAGTTAGAACACTGTTGGGAAGTCCATAAACAATGAATACTTAATTTTCTCTGTTCAGTATAGCAAAAACATAGTATTAGCATCAGTATTAGCTCCAAAAAATCTACTATCAGTCACGTTTTTTAAAAAAATGTTGTTTTGAGGTTACTTCAGATTTTGATGCCAGTTCAAATTTCCTTATTTTAGGGTATTTGGGTGTTTAGGGTTGACCAAACTAACAACTGAGACAAACTAAATACAGATATATGTTTGGATCCAGTTTTCCTTGTCATACTTTTCAATTAAATCCTATTGCATGAAGTCTCTGCTGACTAATTTCATGACCTTTTGTGAGTTTTTACAGTGTTTACATTTAAAGGTATATAAAGAGTTAAAATTTCAAATCAGTTTCTTAAATTGTGCATGTCTGTCCCTGAACAAGGTAGAGATGGAGAAAGAAGGAAAGAAAAAGAAAGTATGTAATTAGAGGCACAGAGATACAGAGCTTGATCCATGTTTTAAGGAAAATCTCTTAACTGAGTTAAGTACAGGGTCTTAGGTTGCTGTGAGCTTTGTAAACAAATCCGAAGGACTGTTTAACAAGCTGCAGCAGTGATTTTAAATGACCAAAGCCCAAAGTAAATAAGTGAAAAGTAGTTATTGTAGCCTGGAATCTTCCTAATTTGGTCAAACTATTGGTGGTTTAATCATAAAAATATAAAACAGGACCAACTGATCCCTTTCATATTTGAGTTCATTAAATACTCACTACAAATCAGGGAAATGATCAAATTGGTATTTCTCCTGGTTTTCTAATCATGACCTAACATTTGCTGAGCAAGCATTCTTTGTGGAAATGAATGAAAACTCCAATTTCAAGCTCATTAAAATGAAAATGGCTCAAGTCTCGTTGTCGCAGTGCATAAATCCCATTTTATCCTCTAAAACAGAAAGCCTTAACGGAAAAGGGAATAATGATTTTCACTGAGGCTTTCTATCGTTCCTCTTCTGCTCAGTGTGGCAGCATCTGCATAGCTCATACCAAATTACTGAAAGCACCACAGGATGTGTGGATGCTTTTGACAAAGTCTGTGTGTAAAAGCCACCCCCTTGACTGCAATCCTTATACTTTCTTCTTGTATTAAGCAAGATGATTGACGTAAAGCTGGATAAGGGGATAGTGAGAGAATATAAGTCTGTGATGGTTCTCAGTCATCCAGGTGGACTGATCTCTGGCTACCAAGACTAGCAATCGGGACATGGAATGTCACCTCTCTGGTGGGGAAGGAGCCTGAGTTAGTGCGTGAGGTTGAGAGGTACCGGCTAGATATAGTCGGGCTCACCTCAACATATGGTTTGGGCTCTGGAACCAGCATACTAGAGGGGGCTGGACTCTGTCTCAGTCTGGAGTTGCCCCTGGTGAGAGGCGGCGGGCTGGGGTGGGTATCTTGGTATCCCCTCGGCTTGCTGCCTGTATGTTGGGGTTTCTCCCAGTGGATGAGATGGTTTGCTTCCTTCGCCTCCGGGTCAAGGAATGGGTCCTGAACATTGTCTGCGCTTATGCGCCGAGTGGCAGTTCAGAGTACCCAGCCTTCTTGGAGTCCCTGGGTGGGGTACTGGAGGGTGCTCCTCCTGGGGACTCTGTTGTCCTACTGGACATGCTCACATGGACAATGACAGCGAGACCTGGAGGGGCGGAGCTGAATCCGAACGGTGTTTTCTTATTGGACTTCTGTGCAAACCACAGTTTGGCCATAACAAACACCATGTTCGAATATAAGAGTGTCTATAAGTGAACATGGCACTAGGACACTCTAGGCCACAGGTTGATGATCGATTTTGTAATCATATCACCAGACCTGAGGCCATATGCTTTGAACACTCGGGTAAAGAGAGGGGCTGAGCAGTCAACTGAATACCAACTGGTGGTGAGTTGGATCAGGTGGCGGGGGAGGACACTGGACAGACCTGGAGCACCTAAACGTACAGTGAGGGTGTGCTGGGAATGCCTAGCAAAGGCCTAGGTCCGCGAGATCTTCAACTCACACCTCCGGCAGAGCTTCAACAGCATTTCGAGGGAGACTGGGGACATTGAGTCCAAATGGACCATGTTCAGCATCTCCATTGCTGAAGCTGTTGCACAGAGCTGCGGCCGCAAGGTAGTTGGTGCCTGTCGTGGTGGTAATCCCCGAACCAAATGGTGGACACCAGAGGTGAGGGGAGCCACCAGGCTGAAGAAGGAGTCCTATCGGGCTTGGTTAGCCTGTGGGACTTCGGAGGCAGCTGATAGGTACCGACAGGCCAATTGGAACGCGGCGCGGGCGGTGGCGGAAGCAAAAACTCGGGTGTGGGAGGAGTTCGTAGAGGCCATGGAAAAAACTTTCGGACTGCCTCGAAGAGATTCTGGCAAACCGTCAGGCAAAGGCAACTCAGGAGAGGAAAGCAGTGCTCTACCTGCACGGTGCATAGTGCGGGTGGAGTGCTGATGACTTCGACTGAGAAAATTGCTGGGCAGTGGAAGGAATACTTCGAGGACCTCCTTAATCCCCCTGGCATATCTTCCGTGGAGGAAGCAGAGTTTGGGGACAAAGGGGATGACCCGCCAACCTCTGAGGGTGAGGTCACTGAGGCAGTTAAACAACTCTTTGGTGGCAGAGCCCCTGGGGTGGATGAGGTCCGCCCAGAGTTACTGAAGGCTCTGGATGTTGTAGGGCTGTCCTGGTTTACATGCCTCTACAATGTTGCGTGGAGATCATGGGCAGTACCCCTGGGTTGGCAGACCGTGGTGGTCGTTCCCATCTTTAAGAAAGGGGACCAGAGGGTGCGTTCCAACTATAGGGGAATCACGCTCATCAGCCTCCCTGGGAAAGTCAATGCCAGGTTGCTGGAGAGGAGAGTTCGTCCACTAGTCGAACCTCGGATACAGGAGGAACAATGCGGTTTTCGTCCTGGTCGTGGAACACTGGATCAGCTCTTCATCCTCTCAAGGATACTTTGTCTGCATAGCCGGCAATAAGTCGGACTCGTTCGTGGTGGGTGATGGGCTTTGCCAGGGCTGCCATTTGTCAGCGTTTCTGTTCATAATTTTCATGGACTGAATTTCTAGGTGTAGCCAAGTGGCGGAAGGCTTTCACTTGGGTGGTCTCAGGATCTCATCTCTTCTCTTTGCAGATGATGTGGTTCTGTTGGCTTCATCGGGTGATGGCCTCCAGCTCGCCTTGGAATGGTTCGCAGCCGAGTGTGAAGCAGTGAGAATGAGAATCAGCACCTCCAAATCTGAGGCCATGGTCCTCAGCCGGAAAAGGGTGGAGTGCCCACTCCGGGTCAGGGACGTGTTCCTGCCCCACTGGAGGAGTTTAAGTATCTCGGGTTCTTCATGAGTGATGGGAGAAGGGAGTGGGAGATCAACAAATGGATAGGTGCAGCGGCCGCAGTGATGTGGATGCTGTACCGGTCTGTTGTGGTGAAGAGAGAGCTGAGTGTAAAAGCGAAGTTCTCAGTTTACCGGTTGATCTACCCCCCTACCCTCACCTATGGTCACGAGCTCTGAGTAGTGACCGAAGGAACGAGATCGTGGATACAAGCGGCAGAAATGGGCTTCCTCCGAGGGGTGGCTAGCCTCTCTCTTAGAGATAGGGTGAGAAGTTCAGCCACTCAGAGTAGTGCCGCTGCTCCTCCACATTGAAAGGAGCCAGTTAAGGTGGTTCGGGCATCTGACAAGGATGCCTCCTGGGCACCTGCTGGGAGAGGTTTTCTGGGCATGTCCCACCAGGAGGAGGAGGACACGCTGGAGAGATTATATCTCTCGGCTGGCCTGATAACGTCTTGGTGTTCACCCGGACAAGCTGGAGGAGGTGACTGGGAGAGGTAGAAGTCTGGGCTTCTCTGCTTGGGCTGCTGCCCCTGCGACCTGGCCCCAGATAAGCGGAAGAAAATGGATGGTTGGATGGATGGATGGAGGTTCTCAGTCATTCAGGTCATCACAGTCTAAGGAGCTTGGAAAGAAAAGCGTCTGGACTTCTTTAAAGTTCATAGTGAGAGAACAGGAGTGACAGCCTAGAAAACTTCTTTAAAAGGACCCTGTGACACAACCACACAATGCGGAGCCCCGGTTTCATTTCCTTCTTGTTCATGTCTAAACATGCGGGTGGACATATGTGCCAATGATTTGGCAGACTCCCACTCATTCACAGGTAGCGATAAGTTATCAGTAAACTGATACCTTGTCATGAGAGGCAGTGAAGAAGAAAACCACTAACATGAGATAAACATTTTGGGCAGCTTTGCAATTATCTTGAAAAGAATGCATCAAGCACATTCATCAAGCACGTCTTGGACTTAAATGTTTTATTGTCAGTGTTACAAGTATATGTTTTGTGTTATGAGGTAACAAACTTGTTATAATATTTATCTTTTAGAAAAGTCATTGAGACAGCTAAACATCCTGCAAAAACTGGCCAGAAAACACCAATCACAGCACATACATTGCTTAACAAATTTGTCAGATGACCATTAAATCTAAGGTTTATGGTACATCTGCCTTAAATTAACAACACTGGATATTACCAAATTAACTTTTTATGTTTCTGTAATTTTTAATCCACCAGTATGTTCAAGATCTTTAATCAAACTGATTTTGAATACAAAATATAGTATTATATATTTTAAAATATAGTATTACAAGCTTTAGCTTGTTATTGTTATTTCTCACGTTCTACTCTAACTTTTTTTTCAAACCATGAATTTTTCTGGTCAATCTGGCTGCAAAGAAACCCCTACAGTAGACACTGCATTGCCTGTCGTGTCTTGTCATTGCCTGTGGACAGTGTGTGAGTTTCATGCCTGAACTCTGACAACTTATCACTGCTTGCTACAGTGGAATACCAGGTCATCTTCATGTTCATGGCAGAACAAAACAATCAGGACACCAAGAAATGTCCCAGTGCTCCTGGCAGACATATTGCCTGAATAGTTCTTTGTGCTTGCATATTTATTTTTCTACCTTTGGCTAGGTTTGATCTGCCAGTCACATGGTGATTGTGACCAACTGCTATTATCACCTCTACAGGACACAGTTTGAGTTGGTTTGCCTTGTACAAACAGCATTTATGAGATGAGAGGAAGCTTTTATAGTTATAGCCTCTGCCCTCTGACATCCAGCAACAGCCTCACAGAGCTGTGTGTGGCTCTGACACAATTCTAGGAAGGGCCATCAAATTTATGAAAAGGATTTTAGAGGTCAATAGGAGTTTTAAATGTTTCCTTAATGGTCTTGTTTGACACACACACAGATCGCTGAAACACATGCATGCACATGTCATACTCACCGGCTCATAGCTGGTATTTGTTTGACATGATGTGGTGACCTGTAAATGGAGAAAGAGAGAAACCAGCTGAAGTCATATCTGACTTTTAAGGAGAGCACGTAAAAAATAGGTAAGTAAAGGAGGGGAGAAGCAGAAAAAATGACTCAGCTAGTGTCCTCAGTTCTCTGAAGTGCTTTAAATTGTGTTTTAAAAAACACTACTGTAAGAATTGCATTTATTTTTGTAGAGACAGCGGGGGAGAGACATCTCTGAATATTTTCTCTTGAATGCCTGAGTGTTTCCCAACAGAACAGAAATAACCACTGCCTATAAAAAAGAAAGCACCCTTGACTGTTCCGCTGTGTGGGAAATATCTATTCCAAGCAAAAATCACATTTCACAGTCAACTCACACTGAGAGAATGCTTCCAGAGAACATCACAAAACTAATGAACACTGCATTACACTCAGTTCCCACATGGATAAACACATTACATTACAGTATGACTATCATTTATTTTGCATGCCGCTTTTCTTGGTCAGTCTGTATACGAGAATCCGGGCAAAAACACAGTACAAAGTGGTTTGTTAAATAACAACTCAGACATCATGGCAGAAATCCAGGTTACACACTACCACCATCACTAGCCTAAGTGAGCTTACATGCACTACATGAAACAGAATTGTACACAAGTATCTGACTGACAAACAGTTTTGCCTTTCAAAAACAAAAGACAGTGTATAATATTCGGTATACTACAGTCATGTGCAAAACTCTTGAGCTACACCTTGTTTCCTTCTTTTGATTCCAGTGAGCCTGACATTCTTGTAATTTTCTAATTTTCTAAAGCAGTCTTAACAGCCGCATAACAGAAAAGTTAGCAAAGAACCATTTAGGCACTTTGCTATGAGCACCCTTTCCCAAAACACATCATTTGTTCACATTTCTTTTGTTGAATCTATGAAAGATGCCAAAGATCCCATATTCTGACAGGAATAAAATAAAATAGCATTTTATTTTCAAAAACAAGGTGATTCTCAAGGAGCTATAAGATGAAAAAAATAGTTTGCAGTATCTTTTTAAAAAAAAGAAAAAGTGAAAAAGCAGTTTCTGCTTTTCCAGAAACTAGAAACATCTAGGACAAAAGAAGAAGGCTTAAAAACAATTTTTTGAAGCGCTTTTAGGCAATAGTTCTTTCTGAAGCTTTATCAAACATTGGCTGCTTTTTGACTAATTTTCAGTCCCATCTTTGTATCTGACCATTTTCAGATGAATGTTTTTGTTTGTTAAGACACTTAACACTGATATTTTAATCACTGAAATATAAAAAAGGCTCCTAAATCAAGGGATGAACCGGTGTTATGTCAGAAACTTGGCATTTGGTGTGCGGGATAGCCTTAACAAATTTGAGGAAGAAAACCAAAAAAGAAGCATCAGGCCCAAACAGGTATCTACAGCAAATTAACAGTATCTGAAAGTTGTGTCTTTAAGAAACAGGAAAACTACAGCAAAGACCTAACACGGGACCTGAAAGATGCATCTGGACCTTCAGCTTACTGAAGCCTCATCAGAAATGGTCTCAGTGGGAGGGTGGCTGTCAAGAAGCCGTACTTAATGAAGGGGAGAGAAAAGGGGAGAAAAACTTCAGGAAGGAAAATAACACAACCTGGACTGAAAATCAGTGACAACAGGTCTGATGTAGAGATGAAGCCACATTTAGTGTTGGAGATCTTGTAAAAATTAATGAATTATGAATACAGAAAAGTGCCATCAGATTTTGCTCCACCATGCAAAACCATCTGGAAAACATCTGATTGGCAATAGCTTCATTTTTTAAGATGAAAATGATCCCAAACACTGCCAATACAGTAAAAGCATACCACAGTGGAGCACTATCAGTCATGGATCGGCCTCCCCAGAGCCCGAACCTCAACATTATTGTGTCATGGTCCCTGTGTCTGCCCGACTGTCCCCACGAGGCTACATTTGTTATGGTGGTTTTCTCTCCCCCTTGTCGCTCTGCCTGGGCGGAGCTCACTGTTGGGTCCTGCCTTTGGCCCATGCACCTGGCTCTAATTGCACAGCTGATTACTCCGTGGCTATTTAAGGCTGGGGCTCAGATCCTGTCATTGCTGGATGATTGCATGACACACGTTAGTGTTAGTTCCTAGCTTTCGTGATACTTCGTGAGTGAGTGAGTTTGCCTTTTGAGATTTTTCTCTCTCTGTGTGAACAGTCTCCCCAGACCTGCTGCTCTCTTTCCTGTGTTGGATTATGAGCATGTTGGTGTGTTGATTCGTGTGGTGGAGAAGAAAGAAGAGCTTTGAATGCCCTTCAAGAAGCCTGGAGAACTATTCCTGAAGATGACTTAAAGACGTGACAAGAAAGCATCCTAAGAGAGTTCAGACTGTGCTAAAGAATAAAGGTGGTCACACCAAATACTGACCACACATATGTGCCATTTTTCCTAATATTAAAGAAATTAGAGGTGGGTCAAGACTTTTTGCATATATGACAAATAAACACTTTTTATTTAGCCATTTCTGCTTAATAATCCTGATATTAATATGTAAATTTAGTATAGCTTCCGTCTGAAACAAGCCATTATAGGTCCTGCCCCTGTCTTCTAATTGCCCCTCTTAAAAAAAGGTTCTGATTGGCTGATTGGTAAGGCATTACTAACATAATCAAAGCACTAGAACTACTGCATGAGACCTGACCTGAGCTGGTACTGCTGGAGATTTTGTTTCCATGGTCCGCTCCCTTTTTTGCCCTCATAGCGGAAAATTCTTGTACCATCCAAATACTTCTCTTCACGGGCAGCTGGAGGTTTCAGCTCCTTTTTGTCTCAGCATCCTTCCCCACTTTATGCCAAACATCATGTTTTCCTTTCAGTAAACAACAGCAGGTTTTACAACAAATGTGTCTACACCAGTACTAAAAAATGCAGAGCCAAGGGACAGTACCTGTTGCCAGACCTCCCAAGCAACAGTATCACTTGTAGCCTAATTATACTATCCCCTCAAAATTAGAGCCGTATTGCTTTCCTGATGTTGCAGTGTCACATGGAGCATCTTTAAATAGCAGTCAGGGCATCCCGGGCTAAACTGGGTTTCAAAACATTTTGTCCATAGTATTCATGGCAGGCAAGTATGTCCCCTAATAGTCTGTGTTACCCTCTGCACCACAAATCACTGATTACGATGCATAAACAGGCACCTCTCCAGCGAGCTGTATGACGTCCATCTGATTGTATTTACTTTAGTGTGTACAGATACATGCATGGTTAATTGAGTGCATGCAGCAGCCACTATCCCAGCGCGCTGTGAGCTGACGGATGTTTACGAGGGCTTAGATGAGAGCGCGCTATCAGCATACAGCAGACGGGGGCAGGAAGGAAACGGCCATAATTAGTTTGCTCTGGGAAAACAAAGGACTCATTGACTTTGTAATGCTATCATCAAGCATATCAGAATACAGTAGCGGGATAACATCGCAGCAGAAAAGATCCCACCCAAAGCATGCTAATGTGCAATGTGAAGGCATCAATCCACCAGTCAGTGCTACCAAAAAAAGCATGAAGCAGGTCATCTATAGACGAAGCTGACCATACCACATTGTAGAGACACTGTTACCAGCCTTTTATTATACTAACTGCCGTATGTAAGACTGGTTGTCTTACATACGGTAAGACTTTTCATATCAGGAAAGCCACACGGTTAAACTCAGCCCACGATCTGGGCTGATCAGCTGATCTAAATGATAGCCCACATTAGCCTCTTCTTGTCAAATCTCACAAATCATTTGTGAACTGCTGACAACTGCTGCAAAACTGCACCCTGCTTTGAAGACCGCCTTCCTTCGTTCATGTTGTGTCTGGCTTAATCGCTTTCATGTTGTCAATGACGCCTGCTCTGAACTGTTTTGCTGCTTCGCCACCTGCCCCAGGCTTTCAGTGTGGAGAGTTGAAAAGGGCCAAGAGGTCCTAGTCATATCATAAAATACAGAGCTTGCTTATTAGGTTTACGAGGCAATTACTTTTTCACACAGGGCAAGGAAGGTTTGGATAGTGTTTTTTCCTTAACAACGGAATTCAATATTTAAAAGCAACATTCTGTATTCACTCAGGTTATCTTTGTCCAATATTGAAGTTTTTTTAGTAATCTAAGACATGCAAATGTGACAAATATGCAAAAAATTTATAAAAATCAGAAATGGGGAAAATATTTTTTCACAGCACTATAAATAGGTAAGGCTGCAGATGTTATTTTGGCTGTCGTGGTCCTGATTGAAGGCTTAAAATTGTGTATTTGCCTCAAACCACCAAGATGACGGCTATCTGGTACTACCGAGTCCAAGTTTAGCCCTACCATATTATGGTTAACTATGTTTACATTGATTTTGCATGTCTATTGTGTAAATTAAAACTAAAGCTATTTTAAAGGCATAAATTTGTATCTTTTCTAAAATGTCAGTAAGCATTTTACTGACATTGGTGTAGTCATCAGCCTGTATATAGGCCTTTAGTGATTCTTACGCCTACACAGTTTTTTCAGCATCATTGCAGCAATTTTATTATCTCTGTTATACACAGTGTAGATTCAAAGTGAAAAAGCAGCTTGCATGTAACTCTAGTGGACTTCAACAAAATGAGGAATCAACACCTATCCCAATTCTATTAGAAGCTAACAGAACTCCCCAGCAGTTGACATATTTATGCTTTGTACTGGACGTCTAATATCTGAAGACGATGTTGTTATTGATTAATTGGTGCTGGTGATGCTACACGTTACTGAACCCAAGAATGTCTGCCTTTATGTGCAGCTCACAGGTTCTGTCCTGGTGATGACTCCTTCCAGCACTGATCTAAAGCTTAGAAGGATTTGGACTTTGAGTCAAACGCTTACATCCAGACACCAAACTGTCGGAATCACATGTGTACAGGAGGTGCTACACTGCTGGCAGAGAAGAAATTACAAGCAAAACCTTCATAGCTGCTCATCTCAAATTCCTTCAAATACTGTGGCTCAGTGAGACTGAAAATCCTCAGCAGATCACCA